AGCCAGTACACAATCTTTCTACGTTAGTGTGTTAGCGCATACGCGATATCTCACCAGAAGAGTTATATTTTGCGATGAATATGCATATAAAATGGTTAGGGGGTATCTCAGCATAGATTTCCATAATAAACCTTTATCAGTAGACCTGTGTTTATAATTAGGAGAGCGCACTAGCATGTAGGGTACAAAACACCTGCTTTATGCCCTCGAGTCCTTCCCCTTGTCTCCCCTGTCCCTCGCTCAGCCTCCTTCTTCTTCTACCGCCCCCAGCTATCTTCCCTGCCGCCTTTCCTCAGTCAATCTTCCCCTCTCTCTCAGCAAGCTATATTATGAAGTTTGCCTCAGACGGCACTGTACGCCTAACATGGTGCGCGCGCATGCGCAATATCTCTCGAGAAAAATCGTATTTTGCAAAGATTATGCATTTAAAATGAATAGAAGTTATCCTAGCATAGGTTTATATGATGACGTTCCATCAGTAGACATCATTTAAGAAATAAGGAGAAGACTTTGTATGTAAGGTCCCCGCTGCGTATACCAACCAGTACACAATCTGGCTAGGTTAGTGTGTTAGCGCATGCGCAATATCTCACCAGAGAACTTATATTTTGTGATGAATATGCATTTAAAATGGTTAGGGGGCATATCAGCATACATTTTCCCTAATAAACCTTCATCAGTAGACCTGTGTTTATAATTAGGAGAGCGCCCTAGCATGTAGGGTAGAAAACACCTACTTTATGCCCTCGAGTCCTTCCCCTTGCATCCCCTGTCCCTCGCTCAGCCTCCTTCTACTACCGCCCCCAGCTATCTTCTCTGCCGCATTTCCTCAGTCTTCCATCCCCTTTCCCCCTCAGCAAGCTATATTATGAAGTTTGCCTCAGACGGCACTGCACGCCTAACACGGTGCGCGCGCATGCGCAATATCTCCCGAGAGAAATCGTATTTTGCAAAGATTACGCATTTAAAATGAATAGAAGTTATCCTAAAATAGATTTCTACGATAACATTCCATCTGTAGATATCATTTAAGAAATAAGAAGAAGACCTTGCATGTAAGGTCCCCGCTGCGTATACCAGCCAGTACACAATCTGGCTACGTTAGTGTGTTAGCGCATGCGCAATATCTCACCAGAGGAGTTATATTTTGCGATGAATATGCATTTAAAATGATTAGGGGGTATCTCAGCATAGATTTCCTTAATAAACTTTTATCAATAGATCTGTGTT